TCCAGCTGCGGGAGTACAAGGTGGTCGGGCGATGCCTGCCCACGCCGAAATGCACGACCCCGCCTCTGTACCGCATGCGTATCTTCGCTCCGAACCATGTTGTGGCCAAGTCCCGGTTCTGGTACTTCGTTTCTCAGCTGAAGAAGATGAAGAAGTCTTCTGGAGAGATCGTGTACTGTGGCCAGGTGCGGGATAAATATCTTAAAAAGTAGATTTGTAAGGAGTTCTGGCTGGTGTATATGGAAGGAATTTACATGAAGCACTGTTATTGGTGGTGAGGTTGAAATCCTTCAGTTGCTGTGATGTTGAGTAACAAACTCGTTTTTTCAAAGTGGCGGTATCTGTCCAGTAAATTAAAAAGAAACTTACTTCCCAGCACTTCAGAACTATGAACTATGCCACTAGTCGTTGTTGCTCTCTGGTTCTTATGCTTGCTTCATTGTGGAATATACCTTTTAAGAGTCATCTGGACATTTACAATCCTTGGAAAGTAGATATCTGTATGCTTACACTCCTCTACGTTGATGCTTAAAGAACATCCTGTAGAGCTGAAATCTTGTATTTTTCTTTCCACGCTGAATTACTCTTCAGACTGTATTACTAAGACTTGAATGTAGCTCTGTTGGTGTGGGGAAAGAGACGCAGTAGTTGTTATGAATTCTTAAACTTGTAAAATGCTAATGATGTACTGTCTCTAACTGCTTTTTCGCTCTTGTGTAATTTCAGGTGTATGAGAAGTCCCCTCTGCGGGTAAAAAATTTTGGCATTTGGTTGCGCTATGATTCTCGTAGCGGAACTCACAACATGTACAGGGAGTACAGGGACTTGACCACGGCTGGTGCTGTCACTCAGTGCTGTAAGTACATGCAACTGTGTGAGGTATAAAAGGATAGAATATAAGCACAAGATTAAGTCTTAAACTGAGCATAAAGCATGCTGACTTGATCCATGGTCAGATAACTGAAGCACTGGAAAAATAAAGTGGGGAGTTCCTGGATAAGCCTGTAGATGTTTATGTATGAACTATGTGGTGTCTTACCCGTTACTACTCTTTATACAGCTTCTCTAAGCTGAAAATACTCCCACTTCACTTGGTGTGACTTTCTACAATTCTTGTAATGAGTTTTGCTATACAGACTGAGGGGTTAATGGCCTTTTAAGTGCTGTATGTATTTCTTGCATTGTATTTATTGTTTTAAAATAATTGACTATATCTTCCCAAGTCTTGTGGAGAGATTATTTCAGATAACATATGGAACATACTAGCATCTGTCCTTTGGAGAGCAAGTAAAAATAAAAATCAGTGTTGCCCTAATACCTCATTGCCTTGGTTCAGGGAGAATTAAAGGTTATCCCGATTTTGGTTTATGTGAAGTATAGACCATTTGTATAGCTGATGCTGTTGATATTTGAATCCAGAAGTGTTATAAACACTACTGAATGCACATAAAAACCCAAAGAATATTGTTCTTAATAATGATATTCTTGTCATGTGTGCAGATATTAAATGCATCTTGTCGCCTTTCAAAAGCTGAAGTGCTGTTGAAAGTGAAATTTAAGGTTCTACATTAACTTATAATAATTCTTGTTAACTTACTGAATGACTGCTTAAGAGACCTGGGCGCTTAATTTGTCATGATAACCATGACTTTGATACCTTTATGTTTAAGAATACTTTTCACAGGTAAGTTTTTAATAGGTATGTTAGATCTTCATGGGCAGCATTGTAAGCACAATAGTATTTAAACAGGCATATCTTGTGGAATTAGCTATGGACATCATGATTTTCAGGTAGCCTGTGTACAGATGGCTTCCTCCTGTTCTGAAAGCCGAATTATGTGGGCTAAATATCAGTTCACATTTCTATCACTTGTCAATTTTAAGAAAAGTAAACATAACCGCGGATGCTATCTTTACTTGCACCTCCCCTTTGGAAGGGAAATTTTTTTGAAGTTCATATGTCTTTCCAGTAATCTTAATTCAGTGCTGATTCTGAATCACAGTTTTCTTGTGCAAAAAATGAAATAGTCCCATGTAGATTACTTCTGTATGTGTGTACCTTCTTGAAATCGGACAAGAAAAATGAGATGGCGCTTTCTTGGAGGAGTTCAGTTTTGAGTTCCAGGAAGAATTTGTTGCTGCATGTTGGCTCAGTGATATTTCTGCCGTCACTCTAGGTACTAAAACCATTGTGATTAAGTAGAGTTGATCAGAAACTTTAAAAGTTGTAGATGGTAAACATTTCCTGAAAAGATGGTAGTAAAATTTTTGAACTGATAATGTGTTAAGATTTATTTTCAATGAGTTCTCTTGTTATAGACCGCGATATGGGAGCCCGTCATCGTGCCCGTGCTCACTCTATTCAGATCATGAAAGTTGAGGAAATTGCTGCTAGCAAGTGCCGTAGACCAGCAGTCAAGCAGTTCCATGTAAGTGAAGTAACATTGCAGTGGCTGGTGGGTCCCAATCTAACGCTGGACTGGAATGGGGGAGCTCTCTTGTCTAGTACAGGTTTGCTTTGCAGGCAAAAATGGGGAGGGAACCAAACTTATATGCATAGCTTTACAATTATGTTACATTATGATCAAGACTTTTAATGCTAGAAGTGTTTGAAAGAAAGTCAAACTAAACCAAGTATGTATTATGTTGCAGAAAATTTGCCTTTAAAAGGCTTTTCTTTAAAAAAGTAGTGCAAAACGAAGGCATCTGTTAGCTTCTATGAAGTGTATCTAATCTGCAGATGCATTTCATGTACATAAGTTAGCAGTTGAATATAGCTTAGCTATTTATTGCAAACTATTTTCTGTTGTTCATCTATTATCTCGATTAACATTTCTTGCAGGATTCTAAAATCAAGTTCCCTCTGCCACACAGAGTTCTGCGTCGCCAGCACAAACCACGTTTCACCACCAAGAGACCAAATACTTTCTTCTAAATACGAAAACGTGCTATCAGCTCTGTGTTGTAATAAAGGTCTTATCCGAACCTTTGACTCCCTGTTGTCTCTTGGAAACAGTGTCCTGGATACCGAGGAGTCCCTCTTCCTACTCTATATTTTCTGTAAACTATCAGCAGCCTATTTACAGCTATGATTGCCTTTCAGGTGCTGACTTAAATTACCAAAATATCTCATCAGTAGACCAAAATTTTAATAACCAACTTTCCAGGTCAGAGGAAATCTATTGTCAAGCAGTTATACAATCCTATATTTGTTTTGTCCCTTAGGCACACTAATTAAGTATAGTTGAATTATGGAAGAAGGCAACTTTTAGTGCATGCAGAACTCAAACTTGTCAGCTGTAAGAATAAAGACCTCACAACTTCAGTTAAGTGACTTCAACTTTTAAGCATTTAAAGCCAAAACTTTAGTTCTAACCTGAACCTTTTCAAGGACGTTACGTACCATTCTGAATTAACTCATGTACACACACAGAGGTGCCTGCACCAAGACATGAAAAGTGATGAAGGGTTTGGCAGACTTACCTTTGATATTAGACCAATTGTTCTGAGGAAAATTGATTTTTATATCCAAACCTAATCCTTAGGTGACCCTATTTACAACATAATGCCACAGTAAAAAAAAAAAATGTGTTGCAGACACTGTGTACTTAAGGTTAATTAAAAAGCTGCTTCACACCTAAAGCCATTTTTTGCATCTGGTGCCCATTATAAATTGCAGCATGTTTTGAGTGTTGTCTGGATAAAAGCTAGGCAGCTAGTTTAATTGGTATAGGGGTACTGCCCAGGGTTAGATAACTGATGCTGTTTTTTCTATATATCATCTTAAAACCAAATGCAGGTGGGAGTAGACTGCAGGGAAATGCTGTCCAGGGAGGAAATGGGGAATCTTTTAGTTTTGGGGTAGCTGGAGAGCCGCAAATGAACCAGGAGAGGAGCTGCTTGTTGATTCCAAGTGAGATCCTTGCTCAGTGTAAAGGGGGTGGCTGTTGCACAGGAGTGGGACCAGCTGGTGCTGCCACAGCAGCCCCGTTTCCACAGCCTTGTGCCCCTGGGGCTCAGCTCTGCGCCTTTCCTTGTTGCCTCCACAGTGAATCAGGTCAGGGAGCTCAGCTGTCCAAAATGTGATTTGAAAAAAGGGATTACCTTCACAAAATCATAGAATGGTTTAGGTTGGAAGGGACCTTAAAGATCATTTAGTTCCAGCCCCCCTGCCATGGGTAGGGACACCTCCCACTAGACCAGGTTGTTCAAAGCCCCATCCAGCCTGGCCCTGAACACCTCCAGGGATGGGGCATCCATAAAATCCCTGGGCAACTCGTTCCAGAGTCTCACCACCCTCACAGTAAAGAATTTCTTCCTCATATCTAATCTACCCTCTTTCACTTTAAAACCGTTACCCTTCCTCCTTTCACTACACTCCCTGATAAGAGTCCCTTCCCCACCTTTTCTGTAGGTCCCTCTTAGGTACTGGAAGGCTGCTATCAGGTGTCCCCTGAGCCTTCTCCTCTCCAGACTGAACAACCCCAACTCTCTCAGCCTGTCTACCTAGGAGAGGTGCTCCAGCCCTCTGATCATGTTGGTGGCTCTCCTCTGGACTTGCTCTGACAGATCCATGTCCTTATGTTGGGGTCCCCAGAGCTGGACACAGTACTCCAGGTGAGGTCTCACCAGAGCAGATGGGCAGAATCATCTCTCTTGACCTGCTGCCCACACTTCTTTTGATGCAGCCCAGGAAGCAGTTGGCCTTCTGGGCTGCAAACACACCTAGCCAACTCATGTTGAGCTTCTCATCAACCAACACCCCCAACTCCTCAGGGCTGCTCTCAATCCATTCTCCACCCAGCCTGCCTGTGTGCTTGGGGTTGCCCGTAGTTTTGGAACTTTGTAATCGAAAGAACAATTTAACATGAAAACGGGATTCAGATTTAAGTTTCACAGAAGCCACCGCGGCGGGGTGGAGGGGAGCTCGTTAACGGAATCGCTGCTGGCGCGGCCAACCCGAACGCACCCGTTACGGGACTGGCCGAGCGCTGCGCAGCTCAGCAGACGGACGCGGCCCCGCTTCTTCCGTGCTCGCTCTCTGGCTGTGGAGCCCCCGGGGCTCGGCCCGCCCAAGTTCCCTCA